CAAATAGCAGATTTTTAGCGCTGGGCCCAATCTTAGATCCATGGGCCAACATTAGAGCCATTTCCCCTATGTATTATCTTTCGACCAGCACACTCATCTGCTCTCTTACCTTTGAAAGGAAATAAGATGTGAGTGCCTACCTTGTTTCATCGACCGAATAGCCTCAATCGAACTGCGACTATCCGAGAAGATGAAGTCATGGTCTATGGACATGTCGAAAATCATCCCCAATGCGAATTTAAATTTTACCCCTACAAAGGTTTGAGCTGGACGGGTTATCTTTAAGATAATTAAATATAAACATTTCAACCAGGTTTGCAAACAAAATCGAGCTGGTTACAATTACAGATATAAATTTGCTGTTAAATATGCTATAGGAATAAACCAAAAAACATTCACAGGTGTAACCAGTTATCAAGAATCCAAGTATAATCCTCGACAATACACGTATAAGCTTCCGAAGTCCCAGTTGCAGTACCGGTTTTGATGACATCGATCACGCAGTTTGGCATTGCCCGGATAACGACGCCTTCAGAGCACGACTGTTGGATACCCTAGTGGCCCGAGGTAGACAACCCTTCCATTAAGTAAGAGATGTATTGGGATCCCGAAATCTTCCCTACATGCATTCGACCTACGAATTCCTTTGTTTGTCTTATGTTAAAGTTTGATGTGATCATCTCTTCCTTTCCAAACAAGAGTAGTTAAATTTTGGCAACCGTGGCCGAGGTCTGTTTGAAAACCAATCAATTTCCGGGATTTTCGAACATTGAAAATAACTTTCGAAATATCACGTTTAACTACGAGTTAAATTTAACTCGGCAATTGGGACACAGCCCAAGAAGTATTTCTCGATTCTCGACGCGATAGCTGGAAACCGTGAACGATTCCTGGGGGAAGCACTAGACGCGAACCTCCTCCCAGATGACCATGGCAATGCAAGGAAATGTGTTTTCGTCGAAGGAAGTATTACAACAAAGGTAATTACTATTAGATATTTTTGCAAACAGTGACAGATAGCAGACATGAAGCTCAAGTGGCGGTGCCGAGCAAATCGGTTTTGCTTAATGAGCAGAATATTATGGGTTTAATCCCAAGCTCTCCCACAGCATAATAATCCGCCTTCGTTGGGCTCCGAGAGCATAAAGCGCATTTAATAACCAATCGTTGAATTGTTTAAACCATGAGTTTCGGAAAGGGTGTATGCGTGATCTAGTTTGGAAGACATTGTTGGCTGCTTGGTAGGAAGCTGACATTGGTTCGATTTTGTGTTGAATAAATGTTCGTATTTGCGGAGTAATTTTGATTGCCCTCAGAACAGCAGCACTATTTTCCAACCATCTGTGACCGCAAAACTTTAGCGGGAATATGGTAGCTCCAGAATACATCGTGATAAACGCTCGTCTTGCTGGTACATCTTTGAAGATATTGTAGATAAACTTCTCTGAACTGTATAGGACTTCCTATGGCTTCCTTAATTTTTCTAACTTAATAAAGCTAAATAATAATAATAATAATTTTTCTAACGATCATGAATCTCAACTAAAGGTTTAACAATGCGCTGAAGTTCTCTAAACTTTTTTTAAACTATATGTGACTTCTCTAATGTCAACGAAGCTGCTCTGAGGTTCTCTGTTCTTTTCTGAAATTCTCAAAACTGCTCTAACTTTTTTGCAGTTCTCATGAAGCTTGTTGTACTGCGCTGAATTTAATTGAACCGTCCTTAAAATGGTTAATCTTCAGTGAACTTTTGAACTTATGCGAAGACCTCAATTACATTTTTAACGTCTCTGAAGTTATCTGAAAATCTGGGAACTGCTTTAAATTTACCAGAATTTTCTGAAACTAATGCAACTGACCTCTCCCTGAAATTCCTGCAATTTTCGGAGCTTACTAAACTTCTTTCAAATGCTCCCGCATTTTTCTAATGTTCATAAGTTCGCGGATCTTCCCTTAAGCTCCATAGATTTCTATGAAGTTCTCGAAATGTTGCTGAAGACCACTGTCTTTCTGTGAAGTTTTCGAAGTTTTTGTAAATTTCTGGAACTTTTGTGCTCCCGCAATTTTCATGGAATTGGAACGAAATAATTAATATAGTTTTATGGTTTTCACTGAAGTTCTCATGATTTTTCTGAAGTTCATGAAACTTCCATTAAATTATCGACACTAATTTAAAACTTCTTCAGCCTACCTAACCGATTATTGATTTGTTTTTAAAGTTCTCTAGACAGCCCTGAATCGATCAGTATATTTTAAGAACCCGCAACTTTACTGAAATTAATTGATTTGCCTTGAAGTTTCGACAATTTTCCTTAAATATTCTAACCATTAAAAAGGCTCACTTATTTTCCCTGAACTATGCTTACCTTAAGTTCTCTAAATTTGTTTAATAATCCGGCAAATTTTCTGATATATACGTTCAAAATTCCCTAACGTTTTTCGATCAATCATAGAATACTTCGAATACCCCATAATCCCACGGAATTCTTTGTAAGTCTCTGCAAATTTTCTTAAGTTAATGGGATTATTCTGAAGCAACTCGGAACTTCGCTGAATATCATGAAAATATCTAAATTCTAAGTTCTCTGGAATTTCTTGAAGATGTTTATCCCTGCTTGCTAAAAGCTCTCGCATTTTTTTTTAATTTATGAAATCTAATCAACTTAGTTAAATTTCCGTATTTTTTAAAGTTCTTGAAATCTTCATGATATAACACCCTTAAAATACTCTCACGTTTTCCGGATGTTCATATAATTTTTATGATGTTCCAGAAATTCTATTAAGGTTTCTACAATTTTTTTGAAATTATTTGAACTGCCCTTTGATTCTCTGATCTGTCTTGATGTTCTCGAAGCTTCCCTAAAGCTCTCAATTCGATTGAGGATAAATTTCCCTGAAATTCTTTGGACTTCTGTAAAGTTCCTGAAATATTTCTTAAGTTTCCATAAATTCTATGACGGTCTCTGTACTTCTTTGAAATTCGCGGAACATCTTAAGGGTTCTCAATTTTTCTAAATTTACGATCATAGATATTTGAACTGCTCCAAAAAGTCTGAACTAAAGTCATCAAAGATCACTAGATCTAGCTTTTCTGAGGTGCTTAGAACTTTTAAAAAATTGCACAATACCTCTCAAGGTTTCTATTCTTCTCAAGTTCGCTTGACACCTGTGATGTGCTCTGAAATTCTAGTAACTTCATAAAAGTTCCTGAAAATTTTCGGATGTTAAAAGAACCAATTTGAGGATCTTAAAGCTTCCAGTAAGTTCCCCATAATTTCAGTGTATTAACTTCCCTTATGTTACCGTAGTTTGTTTATGGAGCTTCACAGAAATTATCAGCATTTCCTTTCATTCTTCAAAACTTCTTCAAAGTTCCTACAATTGTTGTGAAGTTAATGAGACTGCAATGAAGATCTCTTATCTTTCATAAAGTTAATTACGAACTTAAAATAAATCATTTAATGTTTTCCTTAATTCAGGCACTTTGAAAATTTTCAATATCTTGAACATGGAATACGAAACTACAAGACATTGAATATTTTTAGATCTTGGACTTACTCAAATTAAGCACGTTTTTTTAACTTTATTAAAGTGAGAAATTAAGTAAGTGCTTAACTTCAACATTCAATGGATTTGATTATAAAGTTTTTTCTTTAAAACTGATTGCCATGTCTTAAAAATGTTTAGGTTTATTACTGTTGTTTTTGATCTTACAGAAAAAGCATATTTTTGAACGCATTTTAAAAATAGCTTTCTTATTATAAGCCTTTTTTTTATCCGTTAAAGTTCAGGAAAAACCTGGAAAACTTAGGAAATTTTATATAGAAAAAGGAGTAGACACCCTGCAGAATGATCAATCTTGAAATAAATTCACGCTTAAAAAGTTAAAAATAGTAACTGATTACAAGAAAAAGTGACTTTAGTGAAAAATACTTTTTAGTGACTGGCTTGAAAAAATTGACCAAGTCACTAAAAAGTGACTCACTACCAGCCCTGGATACTGCGAACACTATCCTTAAGGATTCAGGATTTTAGACATTCATATTATGCAAAATATACAGCCCACAGCTTCCCAGATCTATTAGCTTCTCGCCACCTTTTTATACCTCTAGCTTCAATTCACATCGGGCCCATCCATGGACACTTGCAGCAACTTGTTCGAAGAGATACCGGCAAGGGCATCCATAAACGCAGCGAGTAGATCTGATGCCCGGGATCTTCCCAAAAACTTTGACGTCATGCACTGATAAAATTTCAAAGATTGTTTTTATGTGTGCAATGTGATCAACATTATTTTTAAAATTCCCTGACATTCCCCGACTTTCCAGGTTTTTCCAGGTAGTCGACACCCTAAGTACAGAACTAAGTAAGAGGTTTTTTAAGATAAATTTAAGTATAGATAATTTTGATCATAAGTTCTTGTACAGGGCGGACTCGATTATCCGGAGTCTTGAAAAAAATTTCACTCCGGATAATCGAGCCATAAAAAAAAAAAAAATTGTCTTATGTGGTCTCATTTAATGTTTTTAGTGGTCCCATTGAACGCTATTGAAGGATTATGGAATCGGACCACTGGTTTTGTAGATATGGCCGGAACAAGTTCCGGCGTTTATGGGCCATGAGGCTAAATTTGACTTGAAAGGAACAAAACCCATTAAGCGACACATCAAATTAAATCAAAATTTGATATCAAGATCAATGGTGGCAAAAATTAAGTACCTTGGACCATATTGGCCACTTCCGGGCAAGTTCCGGGTGCCTCCGGCAAAGTGGCCAGAACCAGACCTGAATAATAACCTATCATGCGACACATCAGATTATATCAAAATTCGATAACCAGATCAATGGAGGAAAAAATTAAGTACCTTGGACCATATTGTCACTTCCGGACAAGTTTTTTTTTTTTTTTTATTTCTTTATTAAAGAGACTTTCAGCCGTAGGCTGGTTCGTCTCTGAAAAATAATATATGAAAATACAGTTAATTCAAATTCATTTTTTTTCACTTTCTTCCTAGCTGCTTATTTTTGCTCCTCGTCTTGACTGGTGAGTCCGGAACTGACAATTCGTCTTCTTTTTCTTTCATCGAATTTTCATTTCCTGCTGATTCATCATTCTGGCAACCCTGGTTCGTAACATATCGTTTCGCATTGTTGTGTTTTTGTTTCGTTGACAGCCTTCGTTTGTTGGTGACGGTTAGAAATTCATCCGATTCACTATCCGTCGATTCTTGTGTGCTATTGTTTCCATCGGAGTGTTGGTGCTGGGTGTTTTTGCTGGTTTCGCCTATTGTAGATTGGGTTTGATTGGTATCGAGTAATGTTTGTTCGCTGTTTTCATCGTTTGTGACCTTTCCTGCGTCTGTAGGGTCATTGACAGTAATGCGTGATGTAGAGCTATTACACTTTTGTCGGGGATGAGCCTTTTGTCCACAGAACCTACAGGTTTTTGCTTGATTGCGATATGTAATCAATGTTGTCTCACCATCGATCGTCAGATAGGAAGGAATGAGTTGTTTGAGTTTCATCCGTACTACACGTACTCCATTGTAGATGCCGGGAAAATAATTCTTCCACATTTCTCTGCTGATGGAAAGAATAGTACCGTATGGTCGCATACTTTCTATAATCACCGTGTTAGGTGTTTTCGGAGGGAGATCATGGATTCTCACGTTAACGGCTTCGTCTTCCACGAACACGGGAATTTTGTAAGCTTTTTCCTCGCACTGCATAGTGTGTTGTAGATGGTGTGATGCAAAGTAGCGCTTGGCTGTGGCTGCATCTACCATCTCGACGTAGACACAGTTTCTAACATTGTGAAACTGGATGTTTAAGGCATCCGCTATGTCCAGTTTCAACTCACCGTACATGAATTTCTGTACGGCAGATGCATCTGGTCGCTTCGGCAGCACCCTAAAGTCTACTACCAAGGTGTTCTCACGTTTAGCACCCATCTGATAGAAAACTCATTAGCTTGTAACCTGATAACGAGACGGATAAAAGAAACACGTCTTTCACGCACGGGGCTTAGCTGTCAACTGACCGGACAAGTTCCAGGTGCCCCGATAAAATGGCCAGAATCGGACTTGGATAATAACCTATCATGAGACACATTAAAATACATCAAAATTCGATAAGAAGATCAATGGAATTGAACCCATGGACCATCCGCTTGAGAAGCGAACGTGTAGCCAACCACGCCATAGGACCCCTCAACTTGAGAAAAATCGTAGTCTCGCGACTCTCACGAGTGTGTAGAGACAAAGTTAAGCTTGACTAAAAATAACGGCTACCGTGAAGGCACCATATTTGACGAGGTTCCTAACTTGACGCACTCGATCAATTTCAACCATTTTCCATTTTTCATTTTTGAAATATTAACATTGCAAATATGAGTTCCGGTGTTCTAGGGATGATAGTGTAACAATTCAAATGATGGTTGCTGATAAAGCGGCTGCAGGCGAAAATGAAGACGAGAATGCGGAATTCGATGTCATGTCTGATGCTGACATAGTCAATGCTGTTCTTAACCATGATTCACATTTTTATGAAGGAGAAAGCGCGACGAACACCACTCTGGATGAAACTGCAAACATTTCTACAGCAGATGACAACCAAGATGAGGAGTACGAACCAGTCCCAGATCAATCAGCGCAGAACAGTATTGACACTATCATCACATGGGCTGAGCAAAACCAATTGCCGTTGGAACGGCAGTTTTTACTTCGTGAAATCAGGGGAAATATTCTTGATAAAATAGTCAATAAGGATTGATATAGGTTACTTTATTGATGAACTACTGTTTTTTTTTCAGAATAAATGAATTGAACTACAAAATAAGATAAGAAAATTGATATACATTTTCAGGTATGAAGCCACCAAAAGACCAATTCTCACGAAACCCCCCTTTAACCCTCCGTTACTCGCGCCAACTTTTATAACACGAGTACTCGCGCGTTGTACTTTGTACAACAGTGTTAGTTTTCCATTGCCATTTTGCAGCCGAGCTACCAATCGATATGAAACCAACGGGTATTCATTAAAAAACTTGTTTTTAACTAAACAAGCTAAAATGTTATCACAGTCAACCCACAAAAATGCGAGGATCTCGAGATATATCACATGCGAGAATTTCACATGTATACTAGCGCTACGTAGTAAGAAAATTCTGAACTACTGTCCGCCAGTGACAAGGCTATGATCTCCTGAACAACTTTGTCAGAGACAGTAACTTTCTATCTTGTCAGAATCTTGATATATTCCATGTTGTAATCAATTAAGTCAAATCCCACGTTGTATGGTCACAGTTTTCGCGGTTTCCATTTACATTTTCCCTATTATCCGCATTTTGTAGGTGTTTACTGTAATCAAAGCTTAGCTTGTTTAGATCAAAACAAGTTTTTTGAGGAATACTCGTTGGTTTCAGATCGATTGGTAACTCAGCAACAAAATGGCAATGGAAAACTCATGTGTGTTGTACAAAGTACAACATCGCGAGTAACGGAGGGTTAAAGGCCCTTTGGTACATTTTTTTTACGGATCTTCAAAAATTTTGTTCGGTTGCCATTCCCCGCCCCTCCCCCTGAAACTTGACATAATTAGGGAACGGACCATCATGGGATTCAGTTTTTGTATGTTGTTGTGGCACATGATATGTTTGATTCCTTTCAGGTCAAAGTTAATCCAAACCCCCTTAACGCCGGATTTTGTAACAAAGGCAAACAAACACTTAAAAATAGTCATTTCCCGATCTTGTCAGACTGAGTCGAACGATGTATGTTACTCGTCCTCGGATCGAAAGTCGGTTTTCCAAGCGGTTTATGCAAAATAATTTGCAAGATAGGTAAAAAATATGACTCCGGATAATCGAGCCATTTTCTCCGGATAATCGAGCCCCGGATAATCGAGCCTCCGGTTAATCGAGCCTCCGGATAATCGAGTCCGGCCTGTATTGGTTCATGAACAATCAAAGAAATCTGTGAGCGAAAATTTTGAGAACTTCCAACGACATTAATTTCAAACAATTTTAGCTAAATAATTCAGATGCAAATAACTAGCAATCAACCCCAAGTCCAACTTGCAATGTATACTACATCTGAGCAATTGATTAATTGATGTACTGAGCGCACAAACAAGGATTAGGGTTAGTTAATTCGGCAAGCAAGTACATAATTACAATACTTCCCATTTCCTATGACTGTATCAAGAGATGGATTATTCTCTACCACTACACTCGGTCTATTGCCAAGTTTGCGTACCAGTATCTCAATCATTTCCCCTTGACTTTGACTGTGTTGTGTTGGTATGGTAGGACCGAACGGCTTACGGAAACAATACCTACTCACCATGTTCTCTCTGTTGAACATCTGCGTATGTTTCTATCAGATTTCCCACCCACCCAATCACCCACTCACCACCCACCGACCAGGTGATGCCGCACCGCACCACCGACAGACGACAATCGACTCACTATGTATGTACCACACGCACACAGCCACGTCCGACCCGGCGACTAATGAGCTATTCTATGCACTTGTCCTACACGAGAAGGACGATATTGTTCCCAAGAGGTCAAAATGCCAACGGAAAAAGTGAAATTGATAGCGACACTACAACAAAACAACAAACCGGTGTATTGATAACGGTTCATGTTGTAGGACAAATTTTTCCAAATTCAAATCAATATTCATTGGCAGTGGCCTGACTACCGGCTTGGCTTCATATTCAATAAGATCGACGTTGGTATTGGTGATGGAGTAATCTATTTCCCCTCCCAGCCGAAGTGCCGACTGACCGACTTCGGGCGTTGCACTGGGAGAGCGAGAGAGAAAAATCCCGACGATGGTTGCCTGCCGTTGCGATGGATGCAATTTAACACAAAACCGTTTGCCCTTGATTCGACACTCAGCTCTAGGAAGCCGACTTGAATACACGCTTTTTGTGAAAGGTAAGTCCTGGCCTATCTAAATAGCTGATTAAGTAATATTCTAGTGAATAATAGTGAAAAAAGTAACATTGTGAGCAGTCAGTGCAAAATGTTTTCAATAATCCTAATCAACCGAGTTCAAGTGTTTATCAGTGACGATTGAAGTGCAGTGAAAGTAATATTATTGATACATTTTCTCGAACATTTAGCCGGCGTCCAGGTGGATGTAGATAGTGGAAAATTTTCAGCTAACGCCCTTGCCTTGATTAAGTGACTCATGGCTCAGTCTTGAGTGACTTGTTATCTAATTGTTTGAAACAATTAAATCAAGTTCGATTTTGCTTGCAAAAGTTGCACAAATTTGGAAAATTGCAGCTGTGCAACAAATAAAAAAAGCCGATTGTAAACTTCCACTAAAAGCTGTAGATTTACAACAGTTCCTAGTGCAATCTTATCACGATTGTGATAAGGGCACTCGAATAGACGAGAAGCGGTCATTTTTGGGTTGGAAAAGTTGATTTATTGAACGTTCATCGGCGGGATGAAAATTTTTTCTCCATTCGACCTCTAAATGACCTTCCGCCATACATCGGTCGAGTCGCATCGTTCGTTCGTTGGGTGGATGGATGTTGATGGGCTCTCATGGTGAAGTTGAGCGCTCTCCTCCTTTGCCTTGCATTATGTATAAACGGTTATACACGTCAACGTTGTGTAAGCTCGCTGAGACTGAAAGCGGCAAAAGAAAGGCCGGAGCAACGTGGTTTGGGGGAGAAAGAAAATGGATGCTCGGGCATTGAATATTAAAATACTTTGTTGAATACAGGACGATTTTAACCCTTAAAGATTTGTTGGCAGTATTAGCCATCTGAGAGATGGATTTCTTGCTTCTGAACTGCAATGAGTTGCTTGGTCTTTGCTTATGCAATTATGATTAATTTGTATTAGTTTTCTCCATTAATCACATAGGACGACCTGTCTAAAAGATTTCATGAAAAGGTAATTAATGGCAGAGTTGTTATGGGAAGCCTAAATTAAACTCTTTCTTCGAAGTCCTGAAAAAAAAATTGCAAAACTTTACTTCATGGTGAAGTTTGAGTAGCAGGAAATGCTATTTCAAACTGCTCGCCTAATGTGATGACACGCTTGGCTGAAAATTTGCCACTGTAAACAGGAAAAGTTATTTGACAACATAGAACATTTTTCATAATCGTTTCTATTAATGTATAACAACGAAAAAACCAATCATCCGATGGTGATCCGTTGCTGCAAATCTGGCAGTTAGACAATTAATTTACTTTGTTATGTTGTAACCAATTAGGCGAAAAATTTGGCACTTGACATTACTCATATTTGAAGAAAAGTGGTACAGCTCGCCAAGGGCCATTTTCTCAGCCGCGCTTAAGTCTTAAACGAGGTTTAATTATATGGGTAAACCTGGTTCAAGATTTAAGGGGCGATTTTTGATCTTCACTTAAGCCTTCAACCAGGTTTAACCACTTCATTAAACCTGGTACAAGACTTAAGCGCAGGTAAAGAAATCGGTCCTCAATGTATACCAATTAATAAGTAACAGTCACTCACAAATGAGTAGCATTTAAACATTTTGTGAATAACAGTGACTCTCAAATGAATGAAAATTTTACTCATGTATTGAGTTATCCCACTTTTCTTTAAATTGAGTAGAATAGTAGTCATTAACGGGTACTGTTAGGCTACCGTGTGGACTCAATTGCATATTCAAAAACATGAAACCTTTTGAGGAATACAAACATTCCTTAGAATTTCAGGTACTTTTTCTAAATTTTCAAGATTCCAGACTCCAGGCAAAATAAAATATTTAATAAAACTTTCAAGATCTTGGCCTTCAAACAAATTAATAAACAAGGGTGCGACTTACCTTAATTTAAATATTTCAACTTGGTGCGTAAGTTTTCAATTTCCTGAGCTTAACCTTTCCCCTGAAGGCCTGCTTACATATAGAAGCGAAGGGAAAATCTCTATATATAAAAATTAATTTCTGCCTGTCTAAACCTTATAGACTCGGAAACTACTGAACCGATCGGCGTGAAAGCAGGGTTTTTGGACCCGGGAAAGGTTCTTAGGGCAAAAAATTTAATTGACAAAAATTTCACTTCGCTTGGAACTGTAAACAGATACGATCCAGTGAAATCGAAAATTGTCAATCGAATCTTTTTCGTTTATGTTTACTTTTTTTCACGCATGCAGCTGCTTGTGAAAAGTACAGCAGCTAAGCGAATAGTTGACGTTTCGTAAGTAACTGATCGATTTCACTTCACGTGAGCACTGTGATCTGCGAAAACAGGAAATTGAAAAATGTTCCACAACCTTTTTCGTTAGTGAAATTTCATAATTTTACTTCACTTCGAACTGTATACCGTGGCGAACCGAAATCCGTACACCTAAGAAATGAATCAAAATCCGTACATTTCATACAAAACGCCTACTTTTTGTATGAGGTGTACGGATTTCGATGCTGTACGGATTTCGGTCCCCCACGGTACTAGGCTGAAGTGCGTGCTCTTCGAAACGTAAAAATGCATTTAATTGTTCAATGCTGGAAAAGAGGCGACATGTTATTGATGCTTATTTTCAAACCTTTTTCAGTGCAGTGATACTAGTCCGAATAACAAAAGTCCAAACGTCACAAAGTTCAGTTATCGGAAATTTATCTGTCAGATTTATACGTTTCAAAATGTCAAGATGATCATTGATGCATTTTAAATGCATTTGACAGCTGGTTTGATACATGAACTGAATTGCAGTTAGCAAATGCCGTTCCCTAAGAGTTAAAAGTAAACATGTTTCAGTAAGCGGACGACTAATGTATTTTGAATACAGCCCGACTTTGAGCTTATCATGTATACAATTGACATTAGGCCAGAATACTTTTTTTTAATCAAAATTCCGGGCAAAACAGTTGGACCTCGATTTTGGAAACTTGGTGTTCACTTTTGCAAGCATCCAAATTTGAAGTTTCTGAAATTATTCTAAACTTGTAATGCTCGATTGAAGCGTTATACTACATTTGACGAAAACTCTATAGAGTATTTCTTATATCTTATCACGTCATTTTGACACTGAAATGGTACATGGGATTTGGTATTTGTTTTTAAAAACACACAAATTTGAATGTTCCACAATTATCGGAACAAAGCATATTTTCAATAACCTTTTAAAACAATACGCTTAAGCCGTTCGCAATGCTGAGTTGCAAAATTGTTGCAGACTACTAGACAGTTCTAAAATTTAAAACTGTCAAAAATGACGCACATTATTAAACGGTGTTTGGTATTCATCCCTAAATATGTGTGCGTTTGTAAATTTAGTTTGCTTCTGTGATTCGTAATCCAGTATCAGGTAACGAGTTCGAACCACGAGAAGAGATTATTTATGGAAATCGCTGATCACCTGATGGTATTTGAAACACAATTTCTGAGCAATCTGGTATCGTGGATGAATATCCGAGAGAGTTGATTTAAATTTTTGTGCAACTGAAGACTAAATCAACCTGAAGACATGAGAACATCCTGAGAAGTTTTTGAGGATCTCTGATCACCTTCAGGCCTTTGGAATATTTCCTTAATCACCTGGTATCATGAGAGAATATCTGGGAGATGTGATTTGAATTTTTGGATAGTTTGAGCTCTTCATCAGAATAGTACCTGATCAACCTGAAGTTTTGAAAAAGTATCCAGAGGACTTTATAGACATCTTAAAACATTTATTAGCTGCCTGGTATCATATAAGGGGATATTTGATAGATGTGATATAGATAGTTGGATATGTTCAGAATGATACCTGATCAACCCGAAGTCTTGAAAAAATATCTAAAGGACTTCATGGAGATCTTAGAACACTTGCTGATTATTGAAATGATTTCCGAGCAGCCTGGTATCATATGAGAGAATATCTTCTTGATGTAAAAGACGCAAGCGCTTTCAAGAAATTCTTCGAAGAACCATGAATTTCCATGAAGTTCTATAATATACTATGAAATTTTAAGAACTACTATCCCGATCTTGTACAAAATACCCCTCAGTTTTTTTTTTTAATTACCTAACTTCAATGATACTCCCTGAAACTTTGTTCTCTATGAATTTCTCCGATTTTTGTGTGAAGCTCTTTGTTATTTGAATGAAGTTCTCGAATTTCTATAAAATATGCTCAAACTTCTGAGAAGGTCCGAAAATTTCTGTAAAATTTCCTAATTTATATTGAATATTCTCAACTCCTACGAAGTTCTCTGAACATTTACGAGAAACATCAATAAATACATCCAAAGAAATTTGATACAGAGTTCCGTTCTTGTTTCAAACCCGCTCAGAAATAAAACCGAACAGTCGAGCAGTGGCCTTCCTTTAGCTCAGTCGATGAAGGCGCAGCTACAAAGCAAGACCATGCTACTGGAGGCGGCTGGGATCGATTCCTGGTCCGGTCTAGACAATTTTCGAGTTGGAAAATTTCTCGACTTCTCTGGGCATAGTATGATTGTTCTGGCCACGCAATTATACTAATGCAAAAATGGTACAGGCATCGAAAGCTTTCAATTAATAGCTGTGGCAGTGCATCTTTTAAGAACCCTATGTTGAGAGCACGCAAAAAGCTCATATGCGATAAGTAACAAGCTTGAAATGCGAAGAAGGAGAAGAATTTGAGCAGTGGCAAATCTGGTACAAAATAGTGCTCGAATAATGAAACTGCAACTCAGCATTGCAAGGGGTGCGTTTCTGTTCTAGTTTCAAATTGAAAGAAACAGTCCATTCCAGATAACAATTTGATGCTTAACATGTGTTGTTCAATCGATTTTAATTCAGCCTTAGTTTGAATAATTGTTATACATAGACCACGTTAACCTTTGTTCAGCTTTTAAACATCTAAATCTGGTAATTTTAATCAGCCGAAAGCTTAGCAGCAATATAAATTATAAGCGTTTTAAGGCATTAAATAACAGTATTTTCAACCCTTGTTCAGCCTTCTAGTTTTATTTAGAAAAAAGAAGACCGCTTCATATCTTGTATATTTTTATGGGACTGCAAAAAGGTGCTGACTAATTGGATTTACATATTTATATTGTTATTATAAGTCTAAAAATTACCTTTGAATTTCGGGATTCGAACCGGCAGTCGCTGATTCACAGGGATCAATCATACCTACTGGACCACTTAAGCATATGTTTAGCAAAAGGTATGATCACTAACTTGAAACACGTCAAATTTAAGTTGAATAACAGCAACCGGAAGAGTAGTTAACACAATGTGGACACAAGTGCGCGATTTATTTCGGAGGTCATGTGGAAGCAAATTTTAGTGCCATAATTGGGTTATATTTTTTTAATTCTGTCTGAAAATTTAGTGCAATATAGCAGTCCACAGAAATACAAATGTTAATACTTCCGACGTCGTCGCAGCCCACTTCTACCTAGAGCTATTCCTTAAAACCTCCTCCACCTTATATCTACTGCTGCCGCTGCTTGGAATTAGGAAGGTTGGCAGAGAATTTGGAATAATTAAAATGCCGGAAATGCAACGAGTGACACTGACTACAGTTAACAAATCAGGCTCTCATAACATTTGTAGTGCATTGCTGATTTGTGGAGTAGTGTTAAGCTTAAATAAGACTTGTTCAATCTTTAGATCAGCTAACTTATTGAGGTTGAATTATGGGGATACAATTAGCTTCACGCACCTTAGAGAGTATTTATTCTTATTGTAAAGCCATTCAAGTACACCGAAAAAAGTTTTCATTAAGTTTCCATTGGGAAGGCACATGATATTTTCCAATAACAAAATTAATGATTTTTATATGAAATTCACATAACATTCATATGATCACATGAATTCTATGTGATAAATCACAAAAATTTCATTGGACACATAAGATTCATGTGATTTTGTCGTGCGATTCTCAATTATGACATCACATGAAAGTTATGTGAAATTCTAATGCATATTTTCCATTGGAAATGTGATTTATTTTTTGAGTGTACTCAATTGCGACACGTCGAATAAGGTCTCGATTTTGGCTCCATAGACGAAGCAGTTGAGATCTCACTGTATTATGAAAGTTTTTGAGATCTTGGAGTTTAAAAAATTGATCATCTAAAACCTGGAACAGTTGTCAAGATGCTGAATCAGGACAACTATTCGGGATTTCGGACCATATTTAAAAATCCCAGAAGAATTCCAATTTCACCAATCATGCGTTTACTGGTTGAAAATATATTAAAAAAATGAAGATTGGTCTGGACCATTTTTGAGCCGCATTTAATCTTCCTAATAAATAATAATATTTCTCTCCATCTTTCTTCAGTCATAGTTATAAGATAAGATCTCCATTTTGGAGTTATTTTTAACACAACCGCAAACCGACGTGCAAAAAAAAAAAAGCTGAGAGCTCGCGTTCGGTTCGTGCACATATTGAATGACTGAAAATAGATTCACCAATCCACGCTTAATTGATCGAAACCTTTCACTCTGAGTTCACTGACACAAAATCGAGCAAACTTCCTGGGCTTGCTCACAATCTGGCACTGAACTTGAACTTGGTTGACACCGAATGCTACAAACGTGCATCCCAACGACACGAATCGAAAAACTGACTTTCCTTGCTTTCTTTTCCTATTGCAGTACCGAAAACACTCATCTCACCATGTCGAAGATTGGAATTAACGGATTCGGCCGTATCGGTCGTCTGGTCCTGCGTGCCGCCGTCGACAAGGGCGCCCAGGTCGTTGCCGTCAATGATCCCTTCATCGGCGTCGACTACATGGTGTACCTGTTCAAGTACGATTCGACCCACGGTCGCTTCAAGGGAGAGGTCGAAGCCAAGGACGGCTGTCTGGTCGTCAACGGCATGAAGATCCAGGTCTTCATGGAACGTGACCCCAAGTCCATCCCATGGGGCAAGGCCGGAGCCGAATACATCGTCGAGTCGACCGGTGTGTTCACCACCATCGAAAAGGCCTCCACTCACTTGGAGGGCGGTGCCAAGAAGGTCATCATCTCGGCCCCATCTGCTGATGCCCCGATGTTCGTCGTCGGTGTCAACCTGGATGCCTACAACCCATCGATGAAGGTTGTGTCGAACGCTTCCTGCACCACCAACTGCTTGGCCCCACTGGCCAAGGTCATCAACGACAACTTCGGTATTGTGGAGGGTCTGATGACCACTGTGCACGCCACCACCGCTACCCAGAAGACCGTTGACGGACCATCTGGCAAGCTGTGGCGTGATGGCCGTGGTGCTGGCCAGAACATCATCCCTGCCGCTACTGGTGCTGCCAAGGCCGTCGGCAAGGTCATTCCTGCTCTGAACGGCAAGCTGACCGGTATGGCTTTCCGTGTCCCAACCCCGAACGTCTCCGTTGTCGATCTGACCTGCCGTCTGTCCAAGCCAGCTCCCTATGAGCTGATCAAGCAGAAGGTCAAGGAAGCCGCCGATGGCCCAATGAAGGGAATCTTGGGCTACACCGATGAGGAGGTCGTCTCCACCGACTTTGTCGGAGACACCCACTCGTCGATCTTTGACGCCTTGGCTGGAATCCAGCTGAGCGACACTTTCGTCAAGCTCATCTCCTGGTACGACAACGAATTCGGTTACTCCAACCGTGTCGTCGACCTGATCAAGTACATGCAGAGCAAGGACTAAATCATTTAATCCTTAATATATCCCCAAACGTTTTAAAACAAACCAATTCTCAGGGCTTGACGCCGCTGATCTGCTAAACTTAGACGTTGCGTATCACACACACACCGTACACGAAACAGTTACAACACCTAAAACACCTCAAGTGAAAAGTACTAAAATCCTCCTGTAAGAACACTTTCAACAAAGGAAGAAAAATAATTAAACACTATTCTGTTTAGTTGATAAGGTTAATGATAATAATAATAATAAATTTAACTGCTAAAAAGTATAGAAAAATGCTGAAAATTAATTATACCTGTTGTGTATTGTCAAGACATTGATAAAAAAAAACAAACAATCGCTTAAGGTTAGAGAGAGACAGACAAAGAACTACGGAAGATTTAAAAAAAAAATCATTCGCGCGCATCGCCCTCCGAATCCACTAAACATACCTTTCGGATGCTGTGTTATACATACCACAGCAGAGAGAGAGGGGGAGTGGCGGAAACAATACCCGAACAAATGAGTAAAAATACCTAATCATGTATTTCATTTTGAAAATGATGCATTACGGAAAGGAATAATAAACACCTAGATTGTTACTAGTCGAGTAAAAGGCGGTATCGAGCAATTCTAATTTAATATCACAGGAATCCCTAGTCTGATACGACTTTGTCGATGTTCAATTATCGCTTTCACAATCATTGTTAAGCTTTCTAAGGCTAAGCCAAGAGTGAATTTTCAAAAAGCCGTATCTGCTTTTGAAAACAAATATTCAATTTTTCGAAACGCTTAAATAGCTGGCCCATACAAACTAACACCAGCATAAAATTTTGGGGAAACATTACACTACCTGGTGGTGGTGTTAGTTTGTGTGGGTGAGCAAAGAGTTTCAACAAATTGACGTTTGTATCTTTGTTTGTCTAAGCACATACGGCTAATTGAAAATTCACCATACCATCTCCGTGACCAGGATTCTAACCTAGGTTAGTACGGCCACAGCGTATGGTCCTAACCACTAGACAATCATGGCTTCTTGAAGCTTTACGAATTGATGATTCCAAACGAGTAACTTCAATAATCAGGCCTATTCTACGAGTCGTGTGACTCTATGCCACTACCAAGATAATACTGCTAGTTTGTAGAACAGCAATTCCATTTCAAATTTATTTATTTATGTCGTCAATCAATCGTAGACCAATTACAATGAATGCTTATTAACTATGTCTTAAATATTATTGCCTGGCTAACCTTGAAAATAATGCTTTTTTTAGTGTTATTTTATTCATTGTTACATCAATTGATTGGGAATATGCGTTATAGCAGGTCATAATTCTATTCAAAGGCCCATTTTTAGCATAGTTTGTTCTTTGATTGTTAATGTAAAACAAATTCCTAATCCTCAGAGAGCGAGTGGGAGCATAAAAATTTATATTTTCTAAAATTTCCGGAACATTAACTCTTTGAGCAATAACATCGTTTATAAATGTTACCATGGCAAAGTCTCTTCGTTTTTTCAGTCCATCTAAACTTATTAACAAACATCGCGATTCATAAGATGGAAGTGGTAATCTCGTCCAACCTAATTTTCGAAGGGCAAACAACAAAAACTGTTTTTGAACAGACTCAATGCGGTTTATATATGTATCCTGATGACGATTTTTTTTTTAATTTTTTGATCGACCTTCTACGATTATGTTGAAAAATACACTTTTCCCATACCGTCTCTTACTCACAATTAACGCATCAGTATGATTGAAAAACTGTGAACAGCAAAGTTTAAGGAAATTAATTGGGCTTTTTGTTAAAAACACTTTCAAGATTAAACACTCACGAATAACATCTCAAAAGAGTGAAAATTGCTCAAATTATGCGATAAGTGAATTTTAACCTACGAGTATCTCGAAAATAACAACTTTGGGCAATTTAAGCATTATGAGCTTTTAACACTATTTCAAAGATATTCGATAACTATCGGTAGTATTTTGAAAAAAACTTATTTTTTTCAATAATTCATAACTTTTTTATTTATGATTTGCCCAGCAAATACACAGTGTCAATAGGTATTTCTTTACCTAAACTGTAGGTGGTATTTTGGAAAATACTTATTTGTTTATGATTTCCACAGCAAATAATGCACAGTGTCAGTAGGTATTACATTAGTTGATTTAACATTTGATTTAATATATTTTTCATGATAAAACTCTCTGATTATTTCACTTTACTATTGATGATACACTACGTTTACTTTTATGGAACTATGTATTCATCAATTCCAAACCATTTTATAGCTCTTTAGAAAATGACAACCTTCAAGTCTTCGAGCACTTCGTTCATCATTTAAAAAGTCAAAGGGTCTACCTATTATGCAATCCAATTCAACCAGTCGGAAACTGTTAAACCTTATGGAAGAATTGTTCGACCTGAGTTGACAAATTTCTCGTGATGGATTAAAAAATCGGTGCATGGAACTACCGATTACAAATTTATAACATTATTCCACACGTTATTATCCCAAATGGTCATTACCCCGAATCCCTTGCAAAAAGCTATTGATTATATATTTTCCTTATATATTAAAAGAAGGGAATAACCTTCTTTTTCATACAAACATCCAAAGAATTAATTAATTTATCTTTTTTATATTCAAAGAAAGGAATATTCGCTTCTTTATCGTTTGTCCAAAGAATTAATTATCTCCTTATGTTATATTTTCAAAGAAGGGAATATTCCCTTCTTTATCATATATTTAACGAATTAATTATGTTATCTTTTAAATATTAAAAGAAGGGAATATTCCCTTCTTTATCGTATATCCGAAGAATTATTTTCTTTTCTTATGTTTTCAAAGAAGGGAAAACCCCTTAATCCATTAAGGTCTCCTAAAACCTCTTGACCAATTAAGAAGTTTTTCTCTTCTTTTTATATACGCGAAAGAAGATTCCAGGAGTGACTATATTAAACAAAAATTGTCAATCTAATACATGGCATACTTTTATTTGCCCTGTGAATAATTGTGTTGTAATGGTCTATATAAGTTAGTTTAGAGTCTAAGATAATTCCTAAATTTAATGGAGTTTCACCCATAATCACTAGAAGAGCTTCAGAACAGTCATCTGGGAAATTGTTTTTATCAAGTAGTCTTTTAATAATATGAGAAAAAAAAACGCTGTTGGTCATATAACGCCAGGGTGCGTTTTACTCCACCTTGTCCTATTATTTGTAAGAACTCTTCTAAACCATCAAATAATTAGAATTAGGGTTAATTACCCCATTTCCGGCCTATTAAGCACAACCCGCACTTAGTCTTTCTTAATCTAGCACAGTTTAGCACCAAACGGAATGTTATTATCACTGATGGCCTCCAAATTTATTTACCTTTCCGTATGTACCGTAATATTTGATAAAGAGAAACCAATCGTTGAGATATTTTCAAAAGTCTAACACTGCTTCTTGACGCCAAACTCGGCCTACGGATTCTAAACTCGGCCTAACGCATTGAAACGCCATTGAATTCACTTCGGCCTATCGGATGAAGATAAAAAGTGATTCTGTCGGAGTGCTTCTTTTGTTTTTGGGAATAATAGGTGCAAACCTGCATATCACGCGTTCTCATTGACTTCGTTCCGTAGCTTATAAACTAAAGTATCGTACCAAACGCACAATTGATTTGTTAACTCTGAAATCAAGGATTTATTTGAAGTTTTCTGGTCGATAGGCCCAAAATGGGCGATTAGGCCGAAGTAGTTATCTACCATATTGAATTAATTTTCCTTTTGACGATGATGAAGTATGTATCAACCTTAGCACTCGCTGTCTTCTGCCGGGTGATGCCGATAGGGATCATTCCGGCTATAGCGCATACTGCTTCCGATGAGATGGTTCTGTACGCACTCACGACTCGCATGGCCATGAGCCGGAACGTACTGCTCAGTTTTCTTTGGTTCTGCTTCGTTTCCAGTGTTGCAAACCAGGCTGGACCTCCATACCTCAGTATCTAGCCAGAAGACGCCTCTTGATATTGCTAGGAATAGAGTTGTTCAGCATGATTCTAGCTATTGTGTTGATGGCCTTCCAACCATTCTCACAGGCATATTCGACGTGGTTGTTGAAGTTTAGCCGGTCATCGATCATCACTCCCATGTATTTCAAAACGCGCTTCGAGGCAAAGGCCAAGGATTGAACCTTGTGGAACTCCCGTTGTGATCCTAATCGATCTCTGTCCCATATCTGTCTCGTGGACCAGAACCAGGCTCTGGAAGCTACTCCTCAGAATCCTGCACAGGTAGTCAGGGACCCTCATTCTATGCAGCGCTTTGGCAATGGCTTTTCAGCTGCGCTGACATCGATTGTTATCATGGTGCAATATCTATCTCCTCTTCGCTTCTGTTTGGACGCCTTCTCGACTCATAAAATCGTCAATTGTTAATTTTACCCAGTATGCATATTTTACCCCCGCTTCCCCTAACATGAACATTTTACAGCGAAACATAAGAATAACAATTATTCATAGCGTAGAGTTTGAGAATTCATGTTTAAAAACTCAAAAATTTAGTGAAATCTGCAGGCTGACAAAATCGGGAAAGCACTGTATTCCAAAGTTCACCATTGTATCGCACAGCACTGTGTACATACACATTAGACTGGCCCACAAAAATAAAAGTTCTAATTTTCCACGGGTCAACCCCTAAATTTGTGCCTTTAGGTGAAAAAAACATCATCCGAAAGATTCAGCTCATTTGGTTCTAAGATAAGCTGGCGCTTTTTAGTTTGAATTTTGTATAGGGAATTTGGATAAAATACATGAAAAAATGACCTACACTATTGTCCGATCACGGACACTGGAGATGGTGTGGCAATCCTCGGCTCGGAGGATTCCAGCTGATTTGGCCAATTCCCCCTGTGGGAATGCCAACAGGAACACAACGAAAAGCTCGACTGAAATTCAACTCAACTCATAGCCCTGAAAAGGACTGTTTTGGCTTCGGCTTGTCCAAAGAGGAAAAACGAGAATGAATTAAAACTTTCAACGGCGCTATATTTCGGTGTTTGCTTTACAAAGCTTGTGGACTGTATGATGGCGACGCGCAAAATGCGTCGCTTTAAATGTGTTTGGCTTTCTTCTTTTTGATGTTGCATTCATTCATTTCTCCTTCATTCATAACCAATCAGCACTCGCTGCACGCTCGTTGGTTTGTGGTCGATCGGTCGCTCGTCGCTCGGTCGGTGCTGCTGCTTGCATGCTCGTGCCAAGCCAGCGGCAGCGTAAGGAAATGATCAAAGCTTGTTTTCAGGGTCTTGATACAAATTACACATGTAGCACATTAGGGTTAGTTTCGGAAACCGATTACCCGCGGTCGCCTCGGGGTTAGTAGAGTTTTAAAGGATTGGGTAAGTGGTTAGGGCGATTACACAAAACAACTACTACTACTACTTCTACAACACATTACGTTCGCTTCAATCGCGAACAACTATCGATCATAAAAAAGGTCCCTAATCTTTTCTTTTTTTTTTCCTTGATTTGTTTTTCGTCGATCTTCTTTTCCGTGCTGAGCCCCAATGCAACCGACACCAGGGAGGCATCTCCCACACCTGTACCCTGCACTGTAAATAAAA